TTGTTCTGGATCATTTGTCCTTCTCCAGATTCCCTCATTCTGGATCACTCGCCCCTCTCCAAATTCTCTTGTTCTGGATCACTCGTCTATCTCCAGATTTTCTCATTCGGGATCTTTTGTTCCTCTCCAGATTTTCTTGTTCTGGATCATTTGTTGGAACATTAGTCCATCTCCAGATTCTCTTGTTCTGGATCACTCGGCCATCTGCAAATTCCCTCATTCTGGATCACTCGCCCCTCTCCAGATTCCCCTGTTCGGGATCCTTCCTTCCTCTCCAGATTTCCTTGTTCTGGATCACCGGCCCCTTTCCAGATTCTCTCGTTCAGTCACAGATTTTGCCACAATCACAGATTAGCTGTTCGTTAAATTGATGTTTCATTGAGTGATGGCTCATTAACCAGCATAGAGACTGAAAATGCCCGAGGCCCTCATGCCAATGCCAAGCTTCTGCTGATTGAGTGCATGTTGTAAACCCCCCTCCCTCGCACACACAGACACGCACACATTCCTTACTGCCAGTGTGGACAGATTCAAGGAGTCCTGTTTGAATCTGCACACACCTCAGTCAGGTGTCAATGTTTCAGTGATGGCTTTTAAGTGCACTGCAGGACTTGATGTCCAATTATGTTTGGATGCATGAATCTAGTTTTGTTTTAGTCTTTTGCTTTATTTTACCCATATCTGACTACAGTGCAGTGCAGACCAAGATGAGGGTATTAAAATGTGTCTAACACTCAACTCACAATATTCATATCTCAATGAATGACAACATTCATTTTCCAACCTGTTTATTCCCTTTTTGGGGTCACAGGTGCCTCAATGGCAAGAGGCGGGGGTACACACTGGACAGGTTGTCAGTTCATCCCAGGGTAACATTCACTCACACTTAAGGGGAATTTAGATTATTTAATTAACCTAATCACCTGTTTTTGGGATTGTGTGGGAAACCCACACTTGGGGAAAATATGCAAACTCCTCCCAGAAAGGTCACCAATGTGCCTCGAAACGTCAACCTTCAAATTGGAAGTCCACAGTGCTATCCGCTGCGCCACCGTGTTGCCCATGAATGTATTAATTTCTCACAAATCCTTTCCATTAAAAATAATTTCATCGTATTAATGACACTTAGCACATCACACTTAAAAATAAGGCTATACCCATTTAGAGGCATACGAAAACTTTCCTGTGGTCCGGCTGGTAGATCTTTGCGCTAACAATTCAAAGGTTGTGGGTTTAAATCCCAGGGAAAGCAAAAACTGACAAAAATGTGTTCATTAATTTAAATGTAAGTCACTTTGAATAAGACCCTCTGCCAAATGCATAAATGTAAATGAAGGGTCTGAACTGTGACTTGCGGTAAAATGCATCTTTTACAAGGTCAAGTATCATTAGTTTAGAGTAAAATAATCAGCTTCCATCTCCATCTCTTCTTCATCTACCTCACATGTGTCAAACTCAAGGCCCGCGGGCCAGAGTGCCAATGCCTTTGGTCTTAGCCAAAACTTTAGCGATGTGTTAGTGGAGAAATAATTTTAAAAACTGTATTTAAACATTAAATGTTTATACTGTATATAATAGCATAAGCATCGTCTTAGTTGTAGTAATAGGTTTATTAGTGTTAGATTGAACTGTTTTTTACCGTGTTTCGGTCCTTGATTCTTCTTTCACATTCGTGTCTTTTTACCCTTATTTCCTCGCAATCTTCCGCCGTTTTTGTCACATTAAAATGTTAGATTTCAGTACCAAAACACTTGTAAATAGTGAAAGATGATGTTTATACCATCACTGAGAGCCCCTGTGAGTTGTGAAACACAAACAGCAACAGCAGGGGGCGTGTCACCGTCTCAATCACATTCATATGTAATAAAATTTTTATACACAGGGTTTATTCCCAACGTTTTTCAATATACGTATAGTGTAATTTTTGACTATATAATATTGCCTTAAAACGGCTCTTGACTCCAACAACATATGGCTTCATTCATTTATTTATATCTTTTGCTAAGGTCTTCAGCTGGACAGGAACTACTCTACAATATTCTACAGCTGAAAAAAACACCTGGACCTTTTTAAATAAAACAACCGGTAAAATCGACACTGAAAGCTTTAATCTTCTGTAATCTTGTTGCTGTACATTTATAGTTGTTTATAAAGAAAAACTTGATGAAAATTCAAATCCTTTTTTTGCTTTTTTAGTTTTTAAACACTGTTCTGAGCATTTCTAACATGAAAATAACAAATATTTGCAGATTTTGAAAGTTTTATTTCCTCTGAAAAGAAAAATGGCAAAAAAAATTCATTCAACTAAGATGGACATGGTGTGACCAATGTCCTGTTTTTACTAAACTGGAACCCATATCAAAAGACTACAGGTATTTGTAAGCTGGCAGGAGTTGGATGGGACTGGAACTAATTTTGAGTGGGAGTGGGATGGGACCAGGAGTCACAGGTGTAATGTAATGTACAATTTATTTTACATTACATTCGATTACATTTATATTGAGTTTTTATTTATTATGAGTTTTACATTTATACGTTACATCTGGCCCTTTGAGGACAGCCATTATGCGAATGTGGCCCTTGGTGAAAATGAGTTTGACACCCCTGATCTACCTGATGTTTTCTTTAACCGCCATTACCCCTCCCGACTCGCGCGCGCGGGTGAAAGTGAAGTTCGCGCTCTCGAGTAGAGGGCGGGAACTGCTCCGAGACCGTTCCTCGTGCACGCGCTCACCAGGGGTTCGATCCCTCCCGATCCGGACAGGTGAGCTGTTTCCCGCCGCCGGTGTGGCGTACTATCTTGCGTTTATGAGTTTGATAGGATTGGTGATCTCAACAATAGCGAAAAAGCCTTTGAACCTCGTTACCCAAAGATTCTGGCTTCAGTGGAGAAGATGCGGGTCCGAGCCCTGCTGGTCCTGGTGCTGATCCTGACATCGGCGCTGCTGGCGGATGCTCAAGGTATGATCGCGCCACACGAGCCTGGAATATCTGCTTGTGAAAGTCACGTTAACGCTCAGCCCCGTGTGCGTCATGCGCAGCTTTGCTGGTCTTCAAGAAACAAATGTAATTCTGATGTTTTAATAGAGGTTTGGGGAAATGATGCACCTTTGACTGGATAAGTATTTATTTGAACGGTGGCATAATTCCTACACGTAACGTAAAACGCCTTATTTGCATGACACACAGGTTTCTTTGCATGTAAATAAGATGCCACCCCCATGTTTTCATATGATACATTATATAATTATGATAGATAAACAAAACAACATAAAGGTTTGTTTTAAAAACAGGTTCAGATTTAGGTTATCATAAAACTGTGTTCACCATGTGAAAACTCTTGCAAGTACGCTTGCTAAGATGGACGCTATTTGCTCCAGACCAGAGGATCTCCAGTCCACTATCCTCCATCATTCTTGCTTGTTTGTTCTGTTTGTGTAGTCTCTCTCTGGCTCTCCTCTATTCTACCTTTTCCATTTCCTCATTCCTCATTCAAATTTAAAATTTCACATTTCTGTTATTGAATCCCTCCTGAACTGAAGAGGAAGCCTGCAGGGTGCACGGTTTGGAAGTTTCTTGGTGGCAAAGCCTGGCCCAAGTTCTCAGGTGGCTCACCTCTGCGACATCACGTGGCAGTAGGGGACAGTTTCTCTGGACTGACACATCTACAGAAGTCTATACTAGGATAATGGAGAGGAGGATCTGGCCAGAACATGAGCATTTGAAGATTTTGACTTGAAACTTGAAGATATTCCACAATTTCCACCATGGTTTTCCTGTGTGTTTGTGTGTGTTTGCGTGTGTGTGTGTGTGTGTGTGTGTGCGTGTGTGTGTGTGTTTGTGTGTGTTGGGGGGGGGGTCTATCTGGATCCACTGAATCAGAACTGATTGAACTGAACAGGTGAAATTAAAGTTAATTATTTTATTACGTTTCACGTGTTAATTTTTATAATAAAAAAAGTTGTGTCCTTTTATTGATTGGGATCTAAGTCACTGTACGAGCTGAAGCTGGAGGGTCGCCGTCGGGTTTTTACTGTAGTTGGACCGAAACGCTTTGAGCAGGTTCAGATCTGTTGCTCAAATACCAGCATGCTCTTCTCCTCAGGTCACAGATCTACAGGAGCTGCGTCTCACCTCCATCTGTTCTTACCCCGTGGATCACTCACAAAGCTTTGTTGTGGTGTGCTGTGGGGACCTCATGCCAAGACCTTGACTGCATGCTTTCACGTCTGAGACGCTCACCGTGGAACTCGAAACTCTGGGTTTTGTGCTTTTATTAACAAAGGTACCGAAGACAGGACACCTCATTCCTCTCGTTCCGTTCACTCGGATGCAGTGGCCGCGAGGTGGACTGGTGCTCAGCTCTTCCAGAGCAGCCTCTGAGCAGCGTGCTCAACTCTCTCTCACTTCTCCAGCACAACCACATGTCGCCACATGATCCTGACTCGAGGATGTTTGATGACTTCATAATTGATGGTGTCAAGCTCAAGTTTCATCTACAGAAAGAATGAACGAGAGGCTCAGAGCTTAGAGAGGTGCTCATGTTGATTCTTGTAGATGTGAACTCTGCTCCAGCTCGAGGTTCTTCAGAAATGATGCAGGAAAGTGTTCATTGACGAGGACTCCTCTGAACCCTGGAGGGCAGCACCGATCCTGTTTCCTCCACCAGAAGTTTTTCTAGAGTCTGACTCAAGCTGAGGGGTGGTCTCAGCCAGATGTGTTCTGCTGGGCGCTGCTGTTTGTTCTGGAGGTTCTTCAGACAGTTTGTGTTTGTGTAAAGAGCTGAAGTGTGTGAGTTCAGCTCCAGGGTTGTCCTGCTGGTGCTTTGATCTGAGTGAATGCGTCTCGTATAGTTCATCTAGAGAAGTGCTAAATGGTGCCATCAAACCTTTCTCATCTTTTTTCTGAGGCTTTTATCTCCATTTGAGATGTTCACTCCTATTGCTTTAATTGTTCCTCCTCTTGTTTGGTTTTTTTATCCTCTGTGTTTTATCAAATGCATTTATTTCTTTACGATGTTTTCTACTCTTCTTAGGCTCTTCTTACAGCACTTTAGCAAACATTGTTGTTCTTTTAAAGTGCTCCAGAAGGTTGTCGAAGGTTCGATCCCCACCAGGTGTGGCCTTGGGCAAGCCACTTTGCCCACATATGGACGTGTGTGACTGGTGGGGTGTGTTTGGTGGTAAGCAGGAGACTGCAGGCGCTAAATGGCAGCCATGTTCTGTCAGACGATCGTAAAGCGTCTAGAATTGAAAAATTGTAAAGCGTCTAGAAAAGCACCATAGAAATTTATGACATTATTATTATTTTAAGTTTGGAGGCGTCTGATGTTAAATAGAGCAGATCTGCACGGTTTTTAGATGGAAGCTGGATCCCCTCAGATTCCAGACTGAGGTACTGAGGTAGAGGGCGAGATTGTTGGGCAGGAATCACCAGCGGCGAAGTGTTTGCCCCACGTTGAGCTGTAAATGACGGACCTCCTTCCATTGCGTTCACACAGTTTTAGCATCGGGATGAGTGTGGTCAGCAGAGCAATGGTAAGAAAAGCTGTGTTTGTGGGACCTTATGGAACCCCTGTGAGCAGCAGGATCAGATGAGCAGGATGAGAATAGATGACGAGAGGAATGTGGTGAGGAACAGCAACCGGGTGAGGTATCTTTCCTCCCGTGTGCAGTCGACATGTCCGTGCATGCAGAAACTTAAGCCCTGCTGGCAGACAGGTGTGTATGTGTGTGTGTGTGTGTGTGTGGGGGGGGGGGGGTCACCACAGGAGCAGCTTCTTCTCTGCTGCTGGTCGATGCTCCAGTCGTACTCCACCCAAGTGTTATTTGTTCTGTTTACTCCTTCATTCAGATACTGACCTTCACTTCTGCTCATCGAATGTGTCACAGGTTGTATCTTAATAGCTATATCTTAATTTAGTCTCAGATTCTATTGATTTGCTTAATTTTTTTTGCTTCTCATTTTTTCTTTCTTTTTGCCCAATCTTTACTCGACTAAATGGTTTACCGCACACTTGCTTGTTTTATGCTCTATGTTACTATGAAGCACATTCCTGGTAAAGTGGAAGCTTCTGCATTACACCGTAGTAAACACGGTTCTGGTTCTGTGGGGGGGGGGTGTATCTAATCTCAAGTAAATCCTTCTCCTCTCTCTCTGCAGAGGGCGTTTTCTCGTGTGTGTCTCCGGCTGTGGCTGATATGGTGATCCTGGTGGACGGCTCCTGGAGCATTGGCAGAGTTAATTTTCGTC